AGCATCAGTAACAGTCTCTACCCTGTTTGGCATACATGCGCACGAATAGAGTGGGGCAAATAGAATAGAGTGGGGAACAATCTGCCTCGTACATTGACTTCACAAGGAAAGGGGATGCTGCAGTGAACCTTCGCCTACCCTGAATGGGAACTCTGCGTCCTTTCTCGGTGTTCAGTTGATAATTTTACAAACTCTGTCTGAACCAACGGCAGCTATACAAATGTGATAAATACCATGACGGTTATATAGTGAGTACAAAATTTTTGTTACGTTTTTCTCTGAGCTGCGAAGCAGTTTAAGAGACCACCCTGTCATCGCTTCACGTCTCGCATTGGCGCCGCGCTTATGATTCACAATAAGCCGTACAGACTACATGCTTGAGCGCCAGCGCTTGCTTTCCCTGCGAACACCAGTGTCGCCGAAGGGGTAATTCGTGAGTCCGAGCCAGTAAAGCGACAGGGAAACGCCACATCGGAAGTTATGCACCTTGTCAACGAAGGCCCCTGGGCGTGCCCATAATACTCTCTGGCCTGTTGTTAACATGCGTGACCGCGAAAAAGCACTGCCGAAGCTCTGACGTCAGGTTTTGTACTCCCGTGTAACAACCCAGAAAACAGTGGGTCCTTCGCTCCGTTGAAAAGGTCTATAGACTGTCTTACCCTATTACATGTGGGCGCTACCATTTTGGGCTATTAAGTCCATGTTTTCTTGTTTTTGTATATTCGCGATATGAATTAATAAGGTAATGAAAGATCGTATGCGCACACTCAACCATTTCATGCGTATGCAGTCTACCGTAGCACTGTTTGTTTAGTTGTTAAAGATGCAAAACACAAATGTTAAGAGCCCAACACGGCGGCTCCGAAACCTCTCCGTGAACTGGTCTATACGAAGACGTTCAGAAGGGAGAGATGAAGGCGAAAAGCCAGCGCTTCAGAGCAGCATAGGGCAGGAAGACAGTGAAGAGAATACCATAAAACTAAAAAAAATTCACAAAAGAAATGAGGTGAATACAAGAAAGAATAGGAAAACATAGAGAAATATCATACAACCAGGACAGAAAGCTGGGCCAGTTTAACAGTACTCGAACATATTTTAACAGAGCGCACGACTGCGCGGACACAAGAGAAGAAGCGCCTTGTCCTTTCTTCTCTTGTGTCTGCGTAGCCATGCGCTGTGTTAAAATATGATCACATAATCATACGAAAAGAACAGAAACAAAAATAAAAAACATACAAAACGAAAAAAATGAGATAAAAGGGCAAGAAAAAGCAGCTGAACTCAACATAAATTCAATATAAACACCAAATCAATTCTCTGGAATTCGTACAGCAATCCCCTGCAGTGGAAGTGGCATAATTTTTTTTGTTCTGTCCTTTTTTTTAGTTTGCGCAAGCTTCACCAGGAACGCAACCTGGTGACTGCATCATCCAGAGCCGTATATTCTCAGACAATATTCGCACCGATTTTTCATGCAGCGAAATACGCGAGCGGCTGTTCGTTTAGTTGACACACCCTTAATATTATGAGTCAAAGTCAAGGTCCATCAGCCAAAGGAGTTGTCCAAGGTGACGACGTACCGCATACCACCGTCTCAAATGGTCGGCATCGACCGGTTTTATTTTCTGTTATTTTTTTCGTTTCCACGTTCCCGGCAGACGTATAAAGTAGCTAATAGTCGACGTCGCTGAACGAAGGCGCGTCGCTATGTGAAACGCGAACCATCACTCTGGAGCCCGGCGTACGCAGTTGTTTCCAGCGCCGCAAAACGCTGCTTCGAGAAAAACCTCTTTGCGCTTTCTTCGGACACCTCAGGATTGGTGCCTGTACCACGAAGTTGCGAAAGATTTAATGCCGGTGTAATTTAACAGCGAAAGCACGGCGCCCATACACTGCACAGACGCTTTGCCCGAAAGCTGTAAATAGGCGCGTTGTGTGATGATTAACGCGCTCGCATGTCGGGAATGAAAACACGCATTAGCGTTGAATTGCTATTTGCCCGATAATCATCGTATTTATAATAGCCATTTTCTCAGATAACTTACGCCTTTTCAATGATATTCCACATGGTGGGTAACGTTAACTTAGCTGGTAAGTAAGAACCGACGTGTTTCTTTTACTGCACTTCGTTCGAGTGACTAATGTTTGTCTTATCTTGCCGCAACTGTTGGCGAGACATCGGGGATTCCAGAGGCATCCGTAAAGCCCAATTTGTGTTGCGTGGACTTGATTTATTGCTATTTGAGATAAGTACATAAACAGCCGATATGTCATTTTGTCAGACTTACACATATCCCCCTCCGTTTGATTAATGATACATCAAAAGTTTTGAACTATTGATCTAGATAAAAGTTAAACAGAATGACACTCAAGACTAGGAGTAAAATGTTCTTTCAAACAATTCTGTGGTAAACAAGCGTTGGCTTTTGAATGCATAAATGAGACTTATCTGCTACAGTAGATTCAACAATGTACCAAATGCTAAGTCCGTGAGGAAGCGCTGAGCGTGCTTCATTGATTTGCGATGCTACTTGATGTGTACTGTGATAGCCCGGAGCCTAGCGCTTTGGTTATTGAAAATACCCTACGCTACTCCATTAAATGCCGTTCTTTTTCAATGCATGCCGTCAACGCATGCTCAAAGCATGAAATGTGTGCGAAGCACAGTTGACTAGTAGGTCACGCATTGTCTCGGCACCACTGTCACATAGGCGTTTCCTGGACGGCACACGCTTCGTAAGAAAACAAGTTCGGCAGCATGTATTGCCTTCAAGACAGAAGCCTGAAGGCGAAAGCCTCCTATAAGATTGGTAATGTGTGAATTGTAATACGCAACACAATCAGAGACCCGACTTCCCGAAATACAAAACAAGCCGCAGTGGAAGAGACACGTATACAGTTACCTTGGCGTTTTCATTCAACCATAATGTTCCTAGCGTCTTGATTTTTGCGCTAAGAAAGAAGATCACATAAGAGACCATTGCTAAGAAAACATGCACACAATCTCAAGGAAGTAGACGATGCGCATCTTTCGTCCCATGCACTGCCGTAAGTGCACGTGTGAGCCCATATTTCGTTAGGCCAAGATTCTAGGAAGAAGCTCAAACAAATGAGCCCATGAACTCTGGGAAGCGTACCATATAAAGAAAAAAAATGGACTAACTGTGTTAGCAAATCTGCCTAATGTGGGTGAGCTATCGCCTTCTGTAAAGTCGTTTGCGCCTCGTGGCATACACGTGTATCGCGAATAGGCCACATTTACGTTTAACAGCCGTCGAGCGGTGGCTGGCGGAGTGCTCGCATGTCTTCACCATCATTATCATAGTGTTTAGCGCGCTAGCGCCAGTAGTGACGTCTAGCGAGTAGGCTAGGTGGCCGCTCAGAAGGCGTTTGGTAAGTGGAGTGAATGGTTGCTCCCCGCGGGGGTCCGTAAGATACGGCTACTGAGGGTCATGTCGCGTTAGTTCCTTCGGGGTGAGTCGAGCACCGGCAACGCCGCTTTCGCGTTACCTTGTTTTTGTTATTGATTGCGTGTGTAGGAATGTTGTATGACGTTGTTCTGACGTGTTACTAGTGACGTAATTGATTTGGCTGGCGATATTGTCTTTAATAAAAGTAGTTCAAAAAATGTACAAGCGTTTGGTTCGGTGCGGCTGCGTCAGCTGTCTCCGTGTGTTCCGAGAGCGTGCCTCATCTCGAGACCCCACGCTGTATAAAAGCGAGAAGAAGTTTTACGATGTCACATGTCTTTAGCTGTATAAGTAACGTTGCCGTGATATGCGCGTGGCATGTCTGCGCACCACTGTAGTATATATTTAACTGCCATCTTTGGAGTAAACCAGTTGTCAGTATAGCACCTGTCCTGTCTTGCCACATGTCTTCATCCTTTTTAGCGCAGAAAATCGAGATGTAATGCATTCACCAACTCACCCAACAATAAGTTCTTATGTACTGTTTCTTAAGAGATGCAAGAAGAGGGGGACGAACAAAGGCATTATTCACCGCCCCTCTCCCTTTCATAATTTCTCAATTTTGCTTGCGCTTATATAAATGCACATATACAAGCGCAAGCACGAGCAAGCATTAACTACAATTTAACCACTACGAAAAAAAATGGCAATATTACTGGTTCCTCCCTCTCCCTTATAGCTTTTCGAACCTCGCGTGATGTTCCACTTTCAATATTAGCGGCCCACCATTGACCAAACGACGACGTCCCCTTATGACGTGCCCACGTGACGTCATTTCGTGTCGTCATGATGACGTAGCAAAGTTTCTCAAACTTTTACGTCAAGAGTATTCGTTCCATCTGCGCACGTCTTTCACTCGGAAGCCACGTGCATTTTAGGGGTGAAGCTCCTTTTAAGCTAACTTTGTCGCTTGTCACGCGTAACCGATAAAAGAAGAGACGAGAAAGAAAACAAGGCAAAAGAAATGGATGACCGTTTCTCGCCTCATTTCCTAGATGTCGTTACTCCACCACTACTCTCCGAAGTGGCACTATTTTCCGATTGGCCTCTGCACACGCTTTGCCTGAGTAAGCGGATAACGAGTACCTCTCTCAGTATTCGGGATAGTCGCCGTACGTGGAGAATCCTTGGTGGGGCATAAACGAAGCAGTGCGGCGAGCGCGTTGAAGACGCGTGAGCTTGGCTTCCTTAGCTCACGTCTCGTCGGTGTTACCCGCACGCCGTCTGCATTCTCGAACGCGATCGGACGCATGTATGGACGGATGGACACGGATGTAAAGACGACGGACGCTTCACCCCACTCATCATAGACTCCGTGGGTATGCCGTGATTTTTTCCAGTTTTTTTTTCACAACTTCTTTCGCCTATCAAAAAGTGGATGACTTGGGCGATAAGTTCAATCAGTTTTGGGGTAGAAACTATGAAGGGGGTGGGGCACTTATGCTTGGTGGAAATTATTATAAAGCCGGTATTCAGCACGCATGTCACCTGCAAGAAGGTGTGTAAAAGGGTAGATACGGTAGTGCTTACGCAGTATTGCGACGTTGTTGCCGGCCAACTTTTAGCCCTTGCCCTGAAACGAGAACACAGAGCTTTAGAGTCAATAAATGTCAAAAAGCGCAAAAAAGGACCCCATTATGGCGATATATAGCATGGTCTATAAAAAAGCATTTACAAGATTGATTGATGATTGAACTTGACTGATATGCGGGGTTTAACGTCCCAAAACCACCATATGATTATGAGAGACGCTGTAGTGGTGGGCTCCGGAAATTTCGACCGCCTAGGGTTCTTTAACATGCACTTAAATCTTAACACACGGGCCTACAGCATCTTCGCCTCCATCGCAAATGCAGCCGCCGCAGCCGGGACTTGATCCCGCGACCTACGGGTCAGCAGCCGAGTACTTTATCCACTAAACCAACGTGGGCGGGGGGGGGGGGGGGTAAAACCTAGAACTTGCGTTGGGCTGTCCGCTTAGGTGGAACAGTAGCTAGGCTGCTAAACAGTGGCTTGCCTGGTGGCCCGGAGGTCGCGAGTTCGATCCTGGCCGCGGCAGTCACGTTTCGATGGAGGCAAAATAGTAGAGGCCCGTGTACTGTGCGATGTCAGTGCTCGTTAAAGAACACCGGATAGTTAAAATTTCCGGAGCCCTCCATTATGGCGTCTCTCATAATCATTCGGTGGTCTTGCTGCGCGAAACCCCGAATATTATTAACTTGCGTTTGGGATCCAGCAGAATGCTTCAGAAATTAGCTGACAACTCAATTATAGATTTAGAAAGGAAATCAACTCAACATTCATGCTATAGCAGAAACAGCACAGCCATCATTAGGGTTCGTATCCCGGCTGCGGCGGCTGCATTTCCGATGGAGGCAGAAATGTTGTAGGCCCGTGTGCTCAGATTTGTGTGCACGTTAAAGAACCCCAGGTGGTCTAAATTTCCGGAGCCCTCCACTACAGCGCCTCTCATAATCATATAGTGGTTTTGGGACGTTAAACCCCACAAATCAATCAATTAACAGCCATCATTAGCTATTGTGAGCCCATTTTCAGCGAACACTAATCAACGTTGTTCGAAAGCCGTCATAATGTAGGCAGGCACCCTACACGCTAAGGAGATTAGTAGTACTTTGTGTTTCCTTCTGCAGCATTGCAAATATAGTCTTTTGGCCAACTTTCATTTTGTTTCTCGAAAACAGCACGGTAGTCGCCTTCCTATCAAGAGTGTTACGCCACTCTGATAGGCTTGTCATAGCATGCCATCTGTGACCAGCAAATACCGGCCAAGCGTGCAATGATATAACGAAAACGTGGGATAAGGGATTATTAAGAGCGGAAGTCGAAGATGCCTCATCGAACGCGAATAATTGACTGTCGCCGTCACACATCGATGGCATCAACACAATGTGACGAAAAAATCATAATGCACATGATGATATTACCATATGATGCCATCATTATGTTGAAAGTTGCAATACTTGGGACGCTTTTATGACGTTGCTGTAGCATACTACTTCACATAACGTGACGTCACACGGGCCTGACACCGTCCCTTGGGGAAAGGGAACCGATCCCGGAGGTAGCGGAAGAGAACGCCAGGTGTTTAAAGCTTGCGAATGGGTGCGGTAAATGATCAATACCTATACTGGAAAGAAAAATATGGAGGCCTTTGCCTTCATGTCACTTTAGCATTGACTGCATAACTCACTCTCTGAGTTTATTTTTTTATGCGGCAGAACGACACCCCAAATGTGCTTTTTTTGTTTTTTTTTCTTTTTTTTGTCAGAGTGTATATGGAAACACATTCGCTGCACTGCGCCATCTCGTATGCCACCTCGCTGACAAACAACACTGAGAAAGAAAAAAAAATAAGAGACATGTGAGCGCACTCACGATGTGGAGGTTGGTGATCTCGATGTCGCCGTCGATGATCATGACGGGCGTGACGAGGCGGCGCATCGAGTTGGCCACCATCTTGCGGTTCAGGCTGAGGAAGGCGCAGCTCGAGTGCGACGACACCTGCAGTTCCTCGTGCGTGGCGCGGTGAAGCTGCTCCTTGTGTTCCTCCAGGTCGATGTCGAACGATATCTCGCCGAAGTTAAGCGACAGCCTGCGAACAAGTATGCGACGATAAGGATATATACCCTCGTCACGCTTATTGTATAACAAGGCCGCTATATGAGTGAACGGCTCATGCATACAAGTATGTTATGCAGCGACTACCTACCATCCAACTCGGGACAAGTCAACTTGACAAAAGGGCAAATAAATCAGGAAAGATGGAGCTAGCAGTGAGAAACTGGCCTTCGAACGTGATATTGTAATATACATGGCAACTTGTGCAAGTTCATCATCATCATGATCACCATCACCACCACCATCATCATCATCATCATCATCGTCGTCATCGTCGTCGTCATAGTCATCATTATCACCATTATTATAAGCCTATCTTACAGCTGCTGCAAAACAAAGGCCTCTTCCAACCCACTCTGCCCTGTGCAACCTCGTTCCAGTGTATGCCTGCAAATTTCTTGGTTTTGTCAGCAGTTGTGGCAACGATGTAAGTGTAGCTCGGCCTTTGTAGCAAAATGCCTTTTACTGGAATTTCAGTCATGTTCAGGAAGAAACTTTTATGCATGCGTAAAATGGTCAGTTTGTACGACTGGATGGGCCTTAAAAACGCAGAGTTGCTGGATTGAGGTTTTTAGTTATTCCAACCCAAAAATTGTCTGGATAAGTGATGTCAATAAATAAAAAAAACCATAACAATGTCCCGCTGAGATCTGCTGACGTATCTTGTTAGCACGTCTTTACATGTAAACTTATAGACCAATCGAAATCACTCGAGCACGCCGTCTACGTACCTGTCTTCTCAACCCTGAATCCACTTCCCCCAGCGTAGGGTAGAAAACAAGACGCGAGCATGGTAACCTTTCCTACCTTCCTCCTCTTCCTCACAAAGACTGCCGAAAATTTCTAAACTGGGGTCATCGACTTGCGTTTATTGAACGCGTGGTTCTCTGTGATTCTCAAACACTAGATCAGTTTCAGCTTACCAGCCAAAAAGTGCGAAAAATTCTCACAATAGAGGGACTTGGCGAGAGATCTCTCGCGCGATTTGACATGTTGTCATGGTGACGAAAAAGACAAATTTTGCTTATAGGTAGCCATGAAACTACAGCAATAAATTAGGTATATAGCGTAGGTGACCAAACTAATTGAACAAGGAAGAGCCACAAGTCGGTTTCGTAATGTCCGTCATTGTCAGTATTATAAGTTTAAAGAAAATCAATTTTGTGACTACTAGTTTACCTCAGGGAATTATTTTCGACAATATTTACAGAGACACACTGTAAAAAAGTATAAATCAAGGAAGAGACAGCATGTATGAATGAATGAATGAATGAATGAATGAATGAATGAATGAATGAATGAATGAATGAATGTATGTATGTATGTATGTATGTATGTATGTATGTATGTATGTATGTATGTATGTATGTATGTATGTATGTATGTATGTATGTATGTATGTATGTATGTATGTATGTATGTATTGAAAAAGGGTTTATTGGCGACTGTTGCGACGGTGGTCCTACGATGAAACACGATCGGACAAGAGCAACGGTCGAGCAGATGCCGGCGAAGATCAGCACGAGCCGAGCGAGCGAAGCCAAGCACCCAGTACCCAAGCGGTGGCGATGTTGTTTGCCAACGATGCGTTTTCTTCTTCACAATTTGCCCCCGCCGAAAAAGAGCCATCCTGGCGACCTAAGAGTCTGGAGGCAGAGGGCTATGATATGGCTTAAGGCGGGCGATGTGGACGATGTCACGTCCACGCCGGCGCATGTCGTCAGATGGGGAAAGTGGCTCGATGAGAAAATTCACCGGCGAGGTTTGCTCCAAAACGCGGTATGGGCCCTCGTACTTTGGAACGAGTTTTGAGGATATGCCGGGGCTTTGGTAAGGAACAGCCAGCCATACAAGTGATCCCGAGGAATAGCTGGGGCTTTGTGAAGAGTCGGCGTTGTTTTCTTTCTGGCGCTGTTGTTCTTGCGACGTAAAGGTGCGTGCGAGTTCACGGCACTCTTCCGCATTACGGGCAGCTTCGGACACAGATGGGCATTCGGATGCGTCAGGATGGTATGGAAGGAGAGTGTCGATGGTGTGGGATGGTTCGCGTCCATAAAGAAGAAAGAAAGGTGAAAATCCAGTGGTAGACTGTGCCGCGGTGTTATATGCGAACGTGATGAATGGAAGAATGCGATCCCAGTTAGTATGATCGGATGTCACATACATGGCGAGCATATCGCCAAGGGTGCGGTTAAATCTTTCCGTGAGCCCGTTAGTTTGCGGGTGGTATGCAGTGGTCTTGCGATGAACAACATGGCATTGAGAAAGCAGAGACGTGACGACTTCTGATAGGAAGGCTCGACCTCGGTCGCTTAGTAGCTCTCGAGGTGCACCATGTCTTAGTATGAAGCGATGAAGGATGAAGGATGCTACGTCCCGCGCAGTGGCACTTGGAAGGGCGGCGGTCTCAGCGTAGCGTGTTAAATGGTCCACAGCGACTATGATCCACCGATTTTCATCTGATGTTGTCGGTAGAGGGCCATAGAGATCAATTCCGATCCGATCGAAAGGTTTGGCAGGGCACGGGAGCGGTTGAAGCGCACCGGACGAGTGGAAAGGCGGTGATTTGCGGCGTTGACAGTCAGGGCAGCCCATAACGAATTTTCGAACGAAATTATACATTCCGCGCCAGTAGAAGCGATGGCGAATGCGTTCGTAAGTTTTGAAAACTCCGGCATGACCACATTGGGGATCGTCGTGAAAGGAGGCGCAGATTTGTGATCGCAAGCTGCGCGGGACAACCAAGAGCCACTTACGACCTTCGGGGGCGTAGTTGCGTCGGTGTAGCAGCCGATCACGAATCGCGAAATGAGCAGCTTGACGTCGGAGAGATCGTGGTACCGCAGTGGTTGACGATCCAGAGAGACAGTTAAAAATGGAAGCGATCCACGGGTCCTTGTGTTGTTCACCGGTAAAAGAGTCGAGGTCGAGAGATGCGACGGAGTTGGTACCAGTGGTTTCGCAGGCCGAGTCGGGAGGTAAAGGCGAACGCGACAGGGCGTCGGCGTCAGAATGCTTGCGTCCGCTGCGATAGATGACACGAATGTCGTACTCCTGGATTTGCAGTGCCCACCGAGCTAGGCGGCCAGAAGGATCTTTCAATGTGGCGAGCCAACAAAGTGCATGGTGGTCCGTTACCAGGTCGAATGGGCGACCGTACAAATAAGGGCGGAACTTGCGAAGCGCCCACACTAGCGCCAAGCACTCTTTTTCAGTGACGCTGTAATTGGCCTCAGCTTTAGTAAGTGTGCGACTCGCATAAGCGACGACGTATTCTGAGTAGCCCGGCTGGCGTTGGGCGAGGACGGCGCCTAGACCAACCCCACTAGCGTCTGTGTGAACTTCCGTTGCAGCTGTTGGGTCGAAATGCCGAAGAATTGGAGGAGATGTTAGCAGACTACGGAGCGTGGCAAACGCGACGTCGCAGTCAGAAGACCAGGATGAAAGGTCTGCATCACCGCGTAGGAGGTTGGTCAGTGGTGACATGATCGAAGCAAAATTTCGCACGAAGCGCCGGAAGTACGAGCATAGTCCGACAAAACTGCGTAATTCTTTCAGTGTAGTAGGTTTCGGGAACTCAGCGACTGCTCGCAGTTTTGCAGGGTCGGGTCGAACACCATCCTTGGACACGATGTGCCCTAAGATGGACAGCTCTCGCGCGGCGAAGCGGCACTTTTTAAGGTTCAGTTGGAGCCCAGCGTTGGTTAAACACGTCAGCACCAGTTGGAGCCGACGCAGATGTGTAGGAAAATCGGGAGAGAAAACGACAATGTCGTCGAGGTAGCATAGACACACAGACCACTTCAGTCCACGCAGTGTGTTGTCCATGAGTCGTTCAAACGTGGCAGGAGCATTACAAAGTCCAAATGGCATTACGTTAAATTCGTACAAGCCATCTGGTGTAATGAACGCAGTTTTCTGGCGATCAGCTTCTGCCATAGGAACCTGCCAGTATCCAGATCGTAAGTCTAAGGAGGAGAAGAATTCGGCTCCTTGGAGGCTGTCAAGGGCGTCGTCGATGCGCGGTAATGGATAGACGTCTTTCCGCGTCACCTTGTTTAATCGCCGGTAGTCGACGCAAAATCGAATCGATCCATCCTTCTTTCGAACTAGAACGACAGGAGATGCCCAAGGACTGTGCGATGGTTGAATAACGCGACGGCGTAGCATCTCTTCGACCTGGTCGTTGATGACGTGACGTTCTGCTGCAGAGACACGGTACGGTCTTTGACGCAATGGCTGGTGCGAACCGGTGTCAATGTAGTGGTGCACTGCGGAAGTCCGACCCAATTGCGGCTGAGAAACGTCGAATGAATTCGCGAAGTGTTGGAGAAGATTAAGAAGCTCGGCGCGTTCATGGGCACTTAAGGTGTCGGCGATGGAACTCGAGAAGGTGTCACTCGATGAGCATTCCAGTGGGGAAAGGGCATGAAGTTCGGTCGAGGCGCTACTGCACGATTCGTCTGGCATGTTAAGGAATAAAGAGGAATCGAGGTACTCCACTCGACCGAGACATTCGCCGGCAAGTAGCGTAAGTGGTGCAGAAAGGGGGTTGTGGACGAAAATATTGCTTCGGCCCGCAGTGACGTCGAGTGTAGCGAAAGGCAAGGAAACGGCTCTGCGGCTCATGAAAATGTCGGAAGGTGTAAACATTACTGTAGCGTCGTTATGGTCATCGCAGCAAACAGGGACAACGGCAAGAGAAGCTGGCGGAATTTCAGTGTCTTCACGTACGACGAGTTTTGGAGACCGCTCAAGAGTTTCGTGCAAAGGTTCGTCAGACAGGTGCGAAAATTGAACTTCAGCGCGTGCGCAGTCGATGACGGCATGATGTTGTGACAGGAAGTCCCACCCGAGGATAACGTCATGCGAGCACACCGAAAGGACGATGAACTCGACAACGTACATAGAGCCTTGGATGAAAATGCGGGCCGTACAGGTGCCGAGAGGTCTGACTGGCTGTGCGCTAGCCGTACGAAGCGATAGTCCAGAGAGCGGCGTGGTCACTTTGCGTAGGGAGCGGCAGAGCTGGGCGGCTATAACAGAAACGGCAGCACCTGTGTCGATGAGGGCAAATGTAGAAACACCATCGACAGATATGGCGACGACGTTAGCAGGTGAAGTGCGAGGACTTGGGCATTTCGATGACGGCGCAGTTCTTGCCTCTGGAACTGCGGCGTTCAGTTTTCCCGGTTGGAGGAAGCGGGTCGGGGACGCATTGGGGACAGAGATCGCCTGCGAGGAGACGGCGAGCGGGAAGAGTGAGTCGGAGCTGGGCGCTGGGGTGACTGAGACCCGGGAAGATTAGTGTAGCCATACTGCGGTGAAGGATAGGGAGCAGGTAGGTGCGTGGGCGGCGGGTCATACGGTAACGGCCAAGTAGCGTTGTGTTGCGATTGGAAACGACGACGACAATATCGTGCCACGTGTCCTGGAGTACCGCAGGCGTAGCAGATTGGTCGATTGTCAGCAGTGCGCCAGGAATTGCTGACTCGCGGTGCAGCCCAAGGTGTCGAAAGAGGGGTAGAGTGGGGAGCAACTGCAGGCATGGGTGGCAAAAGCTGCTGGCGGGGTCTGCTGCGTACCACCTGGGCATAAGTAAGAGGCGCGGCCACGGGCTGCATAGCCGGCGCATGGGGAACAGTCACGGCCACAGGCTGCTGGTGGGCAGCGACGGGAACAGCCTGAGCTACCTCTTCGGCAATAACGTCGCGGAGTGGTGAGGGCAGACGAGAGGATGGCGGCTGCTGCGTGAAGGGAATCAACGACAGTTGCCGAGCTACTTCTTCACGCACGAAGTCTTTAATCTCTTGCAGGGTTGGTGCGTGGTCGGGAACGGAAGTGAGACTGGAGAGCGAGTCGGCGTGTGAGGAAAATGGCCGAGTCAGGGCGCGCTGCTTGCTCAACTCGTCGAAACTTTGACACAAAGTAACAAGTTCCGCAACGGTGGCAGGATTACGGGCGAGGAGCAGCTGATATGCACCGTCATTTATCCCTTTGAGGATGTGTTGAATCTTCTCCGACTCGGGCATGGTGGTGTTCAGTCGGTTGCAAAGTCCAATGATGTCTTCAATGTAGCTTGTGAAAGATTCCGTTGGTTTTTGTGCGCGAGTCCGCAAGCGTTGTTCGGCTCTGGACTTGCGGACAGCGGGTCGGCCAAAAACGTCAGCGAACAACGTTTTGAAGATGGACCACGTCGTAATGTCGTTTTTGTGGTTGTTATACCACATTTCGGCTACGTCAGTGAGGTAAAAGATGACGTAAGTCAATTTGTCCGCGTCATCCCACTTGTTGTTTGCGCTTACCAGTTCGTAGTTAGCGAACCAGTCTTCCACGTCAGTCTCATCAGCTCCGCTAAAGACTTTGGGCTCTCGCAAACGAAGAACGCCGGGGTTGCTGGGGGATGGAGTGGAAGAGCCAGGTTGCGCGTTGTTGGTAGCCATGATGGTAGGTAGCGTTCGGTTGCGCAGCTCCAGGTTGAGGCGACGGCGAATGGCAGCACCCAGGTTCAGGCGACGGGGAATGTCAGCACCCTCCACCAATTGAAAAAGGGTTTATTGGCGACTGTTGCGACGGTGGTCCTACGATGAAACACGATCGGACAAGAGCAACGGTCGAGCAGATGCCGGCGAAGATCAGCACGAGCCGAGCGAGCGAAGCCAAGCACCCAGTACCCAAGCGGTGGCGATGTTGTTTGCCAACGATGCGTTTTCTTCTTCACAGTATGTATGTATGTATGTATGTATGTATGTATGTATGTATGTATGTATGTATGTATGTATGTATGTATGTATGTATGTATGTATGTATGTATGTATGTATGTATGTATGTATGTATGTATGTATGTTCACTGGACCTTGTAAACATGTTTCTAAACTGGCTTAATGCGTAAGCGCGAGATGTAGTGGCAGCCGCCAGGGAATTTCGCAACCTTATGCATGTTGCTACAAACAAAATTCCTCATGCGAAACTCACTTCTTGCCAGGTGGTTTCACGTGGAATCGTATGGTGTAAGTGTCGTTGTACGCCACCGCCCCGTTTAGGTTAACCGTGAGCGGCAGTTGCTATATAGGAGAGAAAGCAATGAAATAGATGTTAGATACGCGCGCCACACAACCATCGTCTTCTATTCCCCAGCAATCAAGGCGTCGTCTTGGCTCTAAACTAACATCTAGCCCTGCTCTATTCTTATGCGTTTCCCGAATCTCTATATCTAGAATAGAGAGAGTTCCACTTCTGGCCTAAACTTGACTGCTACCGCGCTCATGGCACCCAAACCACAATTCAATATAACATCAGACAGCCGCAATGTGGATTGTTAGTTTATCAACCATCCACTTTCAACTTTTCATGTGTCTGTACGCCTTCGTTACAAAGGCATAAGAAGAGAAAAAGGTTTAGGCTTGTCCTGAAGATAAGAGCTTCGCTTCGTAGCGCAGTATAGCTCATAGCCGCGCTATATTCAATTTGTGGGAATAGCCAGCTCCAAAGTAGGCGTCGATGAACTTGCACCTTGATGCATCGAGCTTAACTTTGGCTATCACACCAGTATGTCAAGCCAGCCTTTAACCTCGATGACATGCGCGTATATTGTTTTTGACATCTGTGGTAGTCCACCGTTTATGAAGTGCTCTAACATGAATCTCAAGTCTTTCTCTTGCTGCAATGCCGTTATGGGCTTTTACGGGAATTACACAACGATGTGGTTATGAGGCACTCTACAGTGGAGAATTGAGCCATAATTTTGATCACCTGACGTTCGTGAACCTGCCTTGTGAGATCTCTTCCGATGCAGAAACGACACATCACGATTAACATCGCATAGAAAGTTGGCAGGAGCTCCACCATGTGTTCTGTTTCTTGTGTGACATCTGATACGCTCTTTTTATTCTAAGTCATAAAAACTTACAGCGAGGTTGTCACTTTATGATGGCCGAGCGCCAGCTGTGTGTCGTCATACAGCGAATTGTTCTCATTGGCCGACAGCTGTCTAGGCCAAGATCACAGCTGTGATCAGATGCGCTCATGACCCAAAGGAGAGAGCAGGTGCTGGTGTAGTGTTCCGGCTTTAGTCACACACTAGCAGCACTAGCAGCACTAGCGCACTCCAGAAGCACATCTGGAGGTAGCGAACGTGTTTCGCGACGCGTGATCAAAGTTATGACGCTCACGATACCTGGCTTCTTTCGTCCTTGTCATCCCTCCGTCTGTAACTTCAGCGATCTAATGGCAAGCCGATAAACTCCGACACTGTGGTAATTTAAAGATTGCGTGCGGAAAATGTCTTAGGATCCTTTTAATGTTCGGAAGGACCATGAATGTGTTTCCGAGTACTTGTTATATTAAAAGATAAAAACATTTCTTACCTTAAATTCACACGGTATAACCAGTTCCGGAATGAATACACTGCCATATAGGGTGAACTCATTGGCGATGCCTCCTTCATCCATGTCGTGCCTATTGTACTCGCGACCGTTGACGTAGGTCTGTCGAAAAAGTAAACAAAAAGTATGAATCAAGCAATAAATTAAAAGCAGGAGAACGTGGGCTCAGAGACCCTGTGAAATATATATGGCGTGCAAACACGGACCCAGAAAACAAGTCGACACATCACGAACGCCTACTAACAACCCAATAAGAGCTCCACGGCGAAAAAGAGAGGCCCAAAAACGTATCTGCTCATGCCCATGCAACAGGCGAACATCATAAATCTGGCCGGCGCGGGGGTTTACGTGAAAGATAACTTGAAGGCGTTTGATTTCAGCTTTATCTAAATTAATCTATGGTAGGCTCCCTCATGCGCTCATCTTAAGAGCAACAACTTTACAAAGACATTCACAACAAAGCAATTTTTTCAGGTTGAGCTAATTAGTTTTTCAAAGTACTAAAGCCACTACTCTTGCTATTACACGATGTTTGGCTAGCGAAAAAAGGCGCATGAAAGAAAATGAATGTGGCGACGCCACCACTTCATATGTTTCGACGGTGTTACCCGGGCCTACCCAGTCCTTAGTCGGTAGATGTGAAGTAATATGTCTTTTGATAGAACCAAATACTCATCGTACCAATCTACGAAGAATTTTGTGTATGCAATCAGGTAAAAGTGTGATAAAAAGCCACTTTCAAGTGTCTATGTCACGCTCACGTCTATGTGCGGAGATTTTAGTGCAAAATATTAAGCATAAAATTTTACCTCCATTCTCTCTTCTGGTGCGCGCATGCTACGAAATCAATGACAGTGAAGTTATAGATGAGTAGTTTATTAGTTTATTTGAATTCATTGTTTCACGATAGTGCCTCTGATGTACTCGTACGTACGAAAAAATTGCGGTAAATTTTGTCATCACATAGCTGGAATTGAAACAATCTTGAGTAAAATCATATGTTATCGTGATAACTCGTCACGCACAGTACAAATAGTGCATGTAACGAGGACCTTCTCTTGCGCATTATTGTATGCATAGGATGGGTTGATGCTCTGAGATACCCTTTATAACATGGTGGTGACAGGCGTGCCACAAGACTCAATAAATAAGGTTTTTCGTCTTTATCTGTATTTTTTTTTAAAGTTGGCCTAATGCCGCAGTTGTCTTTTCGATCAACTCTACCTTACTTTATGAAAAAGCAACGGGAATTCATAGCCAAGTTTTCTGACCTTTACGGCAGAATTTCCTTATTTTTCCCGCTATTTATTGTTGCCTCTTCCCTATATAGTTTTCCGCCACCGATACTCTAACCGTATCTTACTTATTTCTTTCGCGCCCGTGTTCAGTTTTCCATTGTCGTATCTAAAACCCAAGGCTTCACGTAGAATTATGCCAAAACGTGACCTGGAGTCAGAACATGCTCTGTCGTTACTTTATCTTGCCCATTTCTACGGACAGGCTACGCCATCTGGCGTTGCTACCACGAAGCTGCATGAAAACGCAAGGTGGAGGGGTGCTGACCATATATTGCATGACTTGGGTTGAATACCGTTTAGCAATAGTGAAACTCAAAATTTGATAGAACATGTACAATATCAATACGTTCCGCTCACCCGGCCTACCGTTGATATACGTATGCGACACCACCTTCACTTATGTAATCATCCCGATGAGGTTTATCTTAGTTTTTTTTTGGAAATAAATGCCCACAAACCTTTCTTGGTTCCATTTCGCGAGTATCACTACAGCCACACCCAAAGTAGACAGTGAGGTGAGTAGACAGTGAGTAGACAGTGAGGTGCATAGGGACAGTGACGCCATGCGTGACATTCCTGCACAGGTCCCGTTATATTTGGCACGATAGAATGGTCGACATTTCTGGTATTGGGTTAATGAGGTTACAGAAACACGCCACGCCGTAGTGGGGGACCATTGATAGATTCTGCTCAACTGATGTTTTTTTTAAACATGAGTCTAAATATAATTACACAGGCGTTCTCGCACATCGCCCGCGTCCTCCAGCTTCAAAGCGCGACCCGACACATTATTCAAGGTGTGGCTTTATACAATCTAAATCACACTAATGTAGAACAATCACGTGACCACTTAAGCCTTTGTGTGTTATAAAGTATCCAGAAATTGACATCGTAATGATACCAAACATCGTCGGACCACATGCAAGGCCCTTCTAGTATAACTCAAGCCTAAATGGACTACTAAAGTCGCTTAGCGCAGATAGACGGGACAAGATTAAGCTACACACACAGGCGTGACAGGAAACGTGTATGCAATGATTTGGGGAGGGGGGAGGAGGCTAGCGGCTGAAGATGACGCAAGCGTCCGGAGCCACATGCTCCACCGCTCTAGACAAGTGTGGCTCTGACTGTGAAACCGCATCTTCGCCACCCACCACAAGCTGCTTTTCCTTGTCGTCGTAGTGCAGCTGCATGAAGTGCTCGCTGTGCGGTTTGAAGACAGGCGCCACCGAGCCGATGTCCGAGTTGTGCCACTCGTACTTATCCTCCTTCCCGTCCACCAGGTCCTGGAAGGTGACGCGCACCTTGTGGTGGCCGACGCTTGTGATCTCCGTCGAGTTCCACACGTGGTGCCTGTCCGACGAGTGCGTGAACTCCCAGTGCACCCTGAAGGCAGGCACAAAGGTACGCGTCACTCAGGCTCCCATATCAACCCTGAAGTTCTTTGAACAAAACTTGTGTTCTCGCAAACGTAGGAACTGCTTCCTGCGTCCAATTTAGAGCTACTACAAATGTGTTCTTGTGAGAGAAGGCAAGGTGTGCAGATATGACCATAAGCATAGGCGTGCGCTGGTTTCTTTATGTAGGAAGAAGGGATGCAAGCTTCAAGCTTCCTCAGTGCCCCCACACTACGGGAAGAAGTTGGGAAGACGGGATGGGGGTGAGGAAGTTCGTAAGAGCCTCGGTGTACTACTGCAGCTCTTACGAACTTTCTGTCGAGAAACACAGTGCAAAGACGAGTTTTGAGTTAACGGAGCGGGAGGGGGGTTCCTATTACCTCAGCTTCTCCAATTTTGGCGACAAGACAATGAGACCACACAAACAATAATTATCAGCCGATACAGCGCACTACTATACAAAAAATGCCCCCACATCCTCGATAAGAATCGTGAGGAAATGCGAATGCATTTATTCACCGAGAGAGGTTCCATTCTCGTCATACATTCGCTTTCACCGACTTCTGCCATCACCTTGAGAGTCGCCCAGCCAGCGAGCGGTCGAGAGTGAGGAGCAAGCGGACAGGAAAGGGGGGGGGGGGGTGCACGCGTTCTCAACTCGGCTTTGGCTTTTCATAACGGCATCTCAAGCACACATATCCGGAAGCTCTTTAACAGAGCTGATGGTTGAGATTTCAGCCCAGCCAGCTAACGATTGAGATTGAGGCTCGAGTGGCCGGGAGAGTGGGGCACAGAGATGAGAGAGCGAACGGCTAGAGAAGGAGCGGCGAAGCACTGCACCTTCCCTCTCCTACACCTCTCGCACCACATGCTCCAGTTGCTAGAGGCGAGAATAAGCACGCACGCCCGCAGCTGCTACTATGGGAGAGGGAGTGAGAGGAGAGAGATAAGTCCTGCCGGCAACGCGGACACCACCGCGGACAATGCTGGATGCCTGACATAGTCCAACTAAGAAATGCATTCGCATTTTTAAAAAAGTAAACGCGCGGCCTATGAGTCCATGCTCAGGGAGGGCAGTGACATCTGTCAATTACGCCTTACCTGCTTTCATAATGAACACTTACCAATAGCTCACCCTTCCGTCATCATGGAGCTGCTCTTGCGCCCATTCAGTGAGCGTAGGCTATTGCTCATGACGTGACACGAATGACAAACTAGGGCGCCATTACAATTTTCCCATTTAATGTCAATAAAACGTTTTCGTCGTCATCTTACGTGGTTTGTCAGCGCGGAGACTTACCTGCCTACTTGTGATACAGAGCTCAGCCATTACAGCAAACGCCTGCGTCTCCTCGCCTCCTAAAACCCTGCTCAAAGCAAGGCTTCTGCATGTCAGTTTGTTGCAATACCAAATGAGAAGGGAAAGACAACATATATATGCCTTTGACAGGCTGGATGCGAAGATGCAATGCTGCTGCAAAATTGTGGGTGCGTGTAAGATAAGCACCGCCTTAGTTCATTATAATAACTTATCATATTAAGCAGCACTGAGTGAGTAGTCTATGTGATTCCATCTTTCCTACTCTCTACAAACATTGTTGCACAAGTGCAACGCGGATATGTAATTACAAAGCGGTACAGCTTCCACAAGAGTTCTCATAATCTCGTGCCGATACATAGCTGGGCTGTCACCGTAGCGCGCTTCAGCCCCACAAAAATAATTCACAAGCTGAAATGACGCTAGTATTGCACTTCCCGACAAAAATAAAAGTAAATGAATCAGCATGTTTAACTTAGCTCCGATTTGTTCGTTATTAATCTGTACACAGGCTGATACACATGAGGACATGCTTCACCTCTTAAAGTCGACGGGCATCACCATCTGCATATAGATGTCTCCAAGCTCCTTGATGGACTTAGGGAGCCTGATGTAGACCGGTGTGACCTGAAGACAACAGGGAGAAAGAGGGAACCAGCATTACTGTTGGCACTGAGGTCGTAAGCGAGTGCGCGTGCAAACGGTCAACCGAAATCTTTTTTTCGTTGCCTAAAGAAATTCGCTCGAACTATACTTACATGCAGCAGTGTGCAAATAGAGGAAAATGACCTGGATATGTGTTTTTTAGGAGCAAAGCGCCGAGACTGCGGGTCTGTCCTTCCTCGCTCGTACGTGACTGCCTAGTTCAATTACTCACTCAGCAAGTGCGAACAGACAGACAGACAGACAGACAGACAGACAGACAGACAGACAGACAGACAGACAGACAGACAGACAGACAGACAGACAGACAGACAGACAGACAGACAGACAGACAGACAGACAGACAGACAGACAGACAGACAGACAGACAGACAGACAGACAGACAGGCAGGCAGGCAGGCCGGCCGGCAGGCAGGCAGGCAGACAGGCTATGGATGGGCGGACGAACGGACATTTCACGATTTACCAATAAAACCCTCTGACGCTTCGTCGCACTCATCATCATTCACTCCGTGGATATGCTGCGATTTTTTTTTCGTCATGTAGAATAGAGCAGCCGAAGTTAGTGATTATGATGATGTTAGGCCACCACTAACAAAAGTCGCAAGGTCCTCCATGCTTTCACTCACAGTGACTCGAGGATGAAAAAAATTTTTCTTTGTTTGTTATAGGTCTTATGGTTCCCAGTAGATTGTATCATTCTCTCTCAATCCATTGTATGTACTCATTCGCTTTAACTACTAATCATTAGGATAACCTATCATCAGAACCAGCTCCTCCTTACGAAGAATTTTCATAGCTGATACTTCATCTCAGAAGTTCCCTTCAGCACTGTGAAGGATACAGGGCTGCATGGGAGATAGGGAATGCGATTAGCCATTCATTCGTCCATATCGCGTCATCTTCTCGGACGTCTCTCTGCCGTTCGCTCGCACGCAGAGCCGAGGAAGCCTTGGGGCGCTTAAGGTCGACAGACGTATCGCATAGAGGGAAAAAATGGCTGCACACATTGCAGCTGGGGAGTTTCGTTTAATGTATCGCATTTATGCATTTCGCTATCCGTGATTCCGTGTTACACTTCAATACGGTGGCTTTCGTGGCGTATGAATACAAGTATACGCTTCATTTGTAATGTATAAATTTAACGATGTTCTTGTTGTTCTTTCATAATTTTCATTACTCTGTATGTCATTTTAGAATAATTATTTACTTTTTCTTGCCTGTTTATAATATTATTAGTATTTTACATATTTCAACTTCTCTGCCTGATTTTTGTATAAAGGTTTTTGAATTGTTCCTACCAATTAAAGCCATGTGTGAACCATTTCTCTGCTCTCTTTGTGCGACATTATGCAAGGGCCCGGAAAATATTTTCAACTCAAAAATGAAGTGTGATATATGATAGCGTTTTCCCTCTATTACTGTGAACATCTCTTGCTGATCTCTATAGTGATGTCATTACAGGTGACATACAAACTGAATCGCTCCGTGTAAGTCCTAAGAAATGCCCGTTTACATATTCCAACTTCCACACAGCGATGCGCTGCCATTGGCCAAACACCGTCACGCGGAGCTTCGCATTGCTGCTTAGAAGGAACCCTTGGTGTACGGTGCTGATTAAACTCCTAACTCTCATTTCCGGAATGGAAAACTGCGTGCGACGGTGCAGCGTATCTAACGAATAATTTCGCGTTACATTACCGAAGTATGTGTCGAGTGATACTTCCCCCAATATTGTATCATGCAGTAAACTCCCGTGCAGGCATGGTAATATGACGCGTTGGTACCATATTGTATTTGGTATCAAGAACAAGGTGGTGAGTTCTAGTGCCTGCCATACTACCATCCGTATGGTGCTAGTAAAAATAGTTATGGCGAGAAGGACATTCTCTTAACGTAGTCTCCGAAAGGAAGTAATCGCGTCTCCCATCGCAGGCATTGTGCGCGGGCTGGCACACTCCCATTCATTTTTTATGGTTTTTTTTTTCTAGCCAGGCATAAACAATATTCCTAAGGAGTCACCGTTAAACGTACCTGCAGTAGTAAATATAGTTTTTTTTTGTCACTACTGAATTATTGTACAGTTTGTGTCTATTTATGCCCTCACAACCAACCAAACATAAGGAACCGAGGGAACCACGAATCTGCACCTCATTTTTTTAATTGTGCTGCTCTTTCTGGCACTCACAGGGCAAATACTACCTGATTGCTACCACGAGTCTGAGACAAAAGGATTATTCATGGGGACTTATAGGCCTGCTTACCGGATAGCGGTAGCATATGTGCGGCTTCGCCTGTGAACCCACGACCGCTATGATGCCCTTGGTGTAGGCGGAGTGTTCCTGCTCATCGTCCGGCCTCAAAACTATGGGTTCTGGCGCGTCGTCTTCATCGTCTTTGGAGCTCAGCGCCTCCAAACTCTCCACGCGGTCGACAGACTCGCAATCTTCGCTCATGATGGCGCCTGTGGACCTTACGCTTACGAATCAAGGACAGTTGAAAGAAACGCAAGCGCGCTGATCGCTGGTGTCGTGGAGAAACCCGGTATTCTGGATGACTGGCCTCGTTTTCAGTCTTTTCGCGGGTCCTCCCGTCGCCGACCTGCACGGCAGCCACTGCCGGAGACCCGTTGGCTGTAGATGCACCGGTCTTGGGCTGCCGACAGCAACAACCTCTTCCTAAGACAGCGAGCGAGAGACTGCGCCGGTGCGCTGCGATACAACCAGCACGTCACCATCAAGGTCGTAAAGATGAGTGGATTGAATTCTGAAACAATTACACCAAACATGCTCCCAGTGCCACCCACACCGGTGGTGGCCCAGCCGATCTGTTTCTCGCGATTTGAAAGCCCCTCTGGGTTTTCAGCGACACCACGCGGCCACACAAGAAGCTTGTCGAGTGTTTATTAGAAGCTATCACTCAATCATCCAGTTGTTCCAATTTCTGTCGTTGTATTTGCCCGGAGGGTGGCGCCCAGAACGCTTGAATTTCTCTGCTCGTAGAACACGTTGCCAAAGACCGAAGCCGCAAAGCGCAACACGTGATGGAAGTATACAGGCCACGCGGCCTTACCTTTGTCATTCTACAGATTTATTCCTGCCTGCCATCGACTTCAATCCGGGCGTCCATACATCAGGCGCGCCTTTGACAGCGGCGCCCACGATTCTATTCGGATATACGAAGGAACGTATAACAAAATCATTGTTTATTCGTGGGCTACTAATAAATGATACCTCTGTATCCATTCGCGTGTCATAGTGAAAGATGGTAGTGAGAGATGCACTAGTGGCCTGATTCTAACGCTGCATCCAGTGGATAGATTTATTCTATTGCCCCCCTTCGCAATATCCGTAGCAGTGAAGTAGTGTGAGGTCATATGGCACGCAGTGCATTTTCAATGAGTTGTCGTGAAATTTGGAGCCTAATGAATTTTTAAAATGCCCAGGACAGTTCTGGAACGTCAATAAACCTTAGGGCAATGTGCAAGCACTGCAAGCACTTTAGTGCAATGCCAAGCATTATTATTTTCCCGCCAAATACACAAAGTTTCTGAATCATTTCAGCATATTGTAGTCAGGAGCATAGCCAGAAATCTTTTGTAGGCGTTTGTATGCGTGTGTGGGTCTATGTAGACATGTAAACCTGAGAAACGTGATAATCAGGGCTGATTATCTTTACCTCTAGCGCAGCTACATGGCCGTAGCACACCAAAAGTGGTCGATGTATCCAAAAGCTTCACTTAACTATTCGTGGCTAAAATGTTCCTTAGTCGCTTGGCATGCATCTAAGAAACATCGTCTGCAGACCTTGGAATTTAAACATATTACTAACACATCAATGCTCTTTATAGTTCCCCCATTAAACAGACGCGAGCCAATGTTGGATACCTCCAACTGAGTCTAAATGTTTGTTCTAGGGTTCTCCGTGCAAAAACCATGATCGAATTATGAGACACGCTGTATAAAAAATTGGGGCTCTTGGTGCCATCACATTGTGCATATGTGTCGAGAACAAGTACGGCCAGGACACTGGGAATTCCGTGCACAAAGCAAAGCTGTGTGTTCAGGACCTAATATTGTAATATATCGAGTTTTACGTGCCAAAACCACGGTATAGTTATGAAAGACATGGTAATGAAGAGCTCGGGAAATTTGTACTATCTGGTGCTATTTAACGTGCACTGACATTGCGCAGTATACGGGGCCCCTATCACTTCACCTCAATCGAAATGCGACCTCCATGGTCGGAATCGAATCCGCGACCTTCGGGTTAACAGCCAAGCTAAACCTTGACCACTGCTCTACTGTGGCGGACGTGTACGGTTATTTATAAAAATATACGGTTATTTATAAAAGAAACGAAGCACATTTACATTAAACGAAAGTAGCCACCATGTTAAAACAGGAACGAAGCAACGGGCGAGCGACGCGTTCGCTGGTGGGAGCGTGCAAAAATATCGCAATACAAACGAATGCAAGAATCAAAGCATTTACAGTTATGCATGTCTAGTAGTGGCACATACCCAAGCTGCACATGCCCATGATTGACCCGCACTGTGGTACACATTCAATGTTTCCCAAACACCAGAACAAATTTTCATCTATCTATCTATCTATCTATCTATCTATCTATCTATCTATCTATCTATCTATCGACGGTTGGTTGCTCTCGTGATCACCCCCTTAACTTGAGGTAAACCAAAATTAGTATGGGACGGTAAGATGATTTGATGAATATGATCAGCTGGTAATGTCACAATAATGTCACAATGTCGTCGCGTATGTCGTCCAACACTTTCCGAAAATTGGTGGAACATACCCGGGCGGGTATGTGCCACAGGTGATACATTTTTATCCACCCAGGAATGCTGAGAGCACACATAGGTAAATTTAGCTATCTACCATTAAGAAAAAGCTGCCAGGCAGGGCTGACGAGACGAATTCAATGATTAAATGTCAGTGTCCCAGCAGGAATCGAAGCCCAGCATTCTGCTTGACATTCAACTATCCTACCACAGAGCAACGCCAGGTCTCGGAAACACTATGCAAATTGACCGTACTGTTCGTGAAACGTCCAATGTGGTCGTCGTCCTGGTTATCAAACTTTATGAACACTACATATGTACTCCTATGACACAGCCGTCATGTCGGGTTAACGTCGATTGTAGTTAGGTGCCACCCGCTGAATTTGATTTGTGCAGCGGCGTTGAGCGCTACCATCCTTGTGAGCACTAGCACAAACACCAACACTTTGTCAACTTACCCCTTCTGGTGTTGCTAGTAACCATGTTGCACTCAGCATAGTCACGCAACTGAAAACAACTGCTAATATAAAACATATGCGACTATTTAACGTATATATGTGCGTGAATTTGTGCATATTGTCACGTGATAAGAAGGCAGTACATCGCTTTCTAGGGCTCTGCGCATACTATCGCCACATTATAGCCTATTTTTCTAGGATTGCTGAACCGCTCACACGACTCACTCGTGAAGATGTTTCATTCGTCTGAGAGGAAGAACAGGACGCAGCTTTCTTTGAGCTACGGGAGCATTTGCAGACACCACCAGTCCTCACTCACTTTGACCAAGACGCTAATACTGACATTCATACTGACGCCAGCAATGTGGGTCTTGGTGCTGTCTTCGTATAACAACAAGATGGCGCAGAGTGAGGGATAGCGTACGCTAGCCACACTCCTTCCCGTGCTGAGGTCAACTACTCCACGTCAGAGAAAGAGTGCCTCGCTGTTGTATGGGCCAAGATGAAATTTAGGCCTTATCTTTATGGACGCCACTCAAGGCAGTGACCCACCATCATTCGTTGTGCTGGTTAGCCAACCAACGGGACCCGTGTGGGCGACTGGCACAATGGTGTCTTCGTCTGCAGGAATACAATTTCCCGATCGCTCACAAATCGGGCCGCAAGCACGAAGATGCTAATTTATTATCCCGTGCACCTGTCAAAGTTTGTGGCCATGACAGCGAGGATCACGGTGGTTTCCTTGGGGCCCTTACTAGAACATATCTGATTACACGACAGCGCGCAGACGATGAAATTCGCACAGTTATCGAAAACCTTGAAGGACGCAACGCTTCCATACCTGGATGTATTTCTCGTAGTCTGTCATCGTTCTGTACGCGAGATGGGGTCCTGTGTAAGAAAAACGTTAACAGCAATGAGATAACCTATCTTCTAATTGTGCCAACTGACATGCGTGACCACATTCTTCTTGCCTGCCGCGATGAGCCGACATCTGGTCACTTAAGTTCCTCTCGACCTATCACTCGAGTTCGACAAGCGTACTGCTAGCCTAAGCTTTCTGCATCCGTTAAGCGATACGTTAAAAGTTGCCGGGAATGTCAACGCCGCAAATCCCAGCCACTGAAGCCCGCGGGGCTTTTTCAACCAATAGGATCACCCAGAGCGCCATTTGATCAAAGAGGAATGGATTTACTGGGACCCTTTCCGCTGTAATCTGCCGGCAACGAGTGGATCGTAGTAGCCACAAACTATTTGGCGAAGTACGCCGAAACAAAGGCACTACGACGCGCTACGGATTCCGACGTCACCCAATTCTTTATGGACCAGATCGTTCTTCGATATGGCGCCCCGCCGTGCGTAATCGCAGACAGAACAGCACCTAGGACCCAGCTCATTCATGACGTATTCAAGCTCAGCTACACGAGCCATCGCAAGACCACGGTATATCATCCGCAGAGCAACGGGCTGACAGAGTGACTCAACAAGATCATCGCTGACATGTTATCCTTGTACGTAGATTTCCAGCATAAGACCTGGGACCAGGTGCTACCGTACGTCACATTCGCGTACAATACTGCCGTCCAGAAAACTACGCGATTCACGCCTTTCCGTCTTGTCTATGAACGTGAGGTCCAGACCATGCTGGATGCGATGCTTCCACGCAATCGCGACGCTTTGATCACTCCTGATGCTATGCAGCTTACCCAGTACGCCGACGAAGCACGCGAGTGAGCATGCCTACACACTACGCACCAGCAGTGTACAGACGCATGCCGCTACAACGCTTGCCATCGACTAGTTGAATACCATCCAGGCGATCAAGTTTGGGTGTGGAGGTCAGTCCAACACCAGGGATTGTCAGAAAAACTGCTCAGTCGCTACTTTGGACCATACAAACTGTTGCGACGCGTGAGTCATGTGAACTATGAAATAGTCCCTGACGGCGCCTTCTCGCCACGGCGGCGAAGGCACTCCTCAGAGATTCTGCACGTAGTGCGACTGAAGCCGTACTTCACGCGGTGGTGTGACTGTGCATGGACCTTATCGCTGTTTGGTATGTGCATATTTTCTATTGGTTCGCCCCGACTTTGCCTTTGTAATTTCCGAGCCTCAGAGCGATGCTTTTTTTTTTCACAGGGAGAATAATTCCACTTGGCCGCTAGTTACAGTGAGCGCAAGCCATGGCTGCCCGCGAGAATGGAAGACAATGTTCTGGGGCAGCGCGTGCTCTGGCTAGTAGTTGTTGATTATTGAAGCAGCCATCTTGCCAGTTTTCGGTGCGTCTCCCCACCGGCTTAGTTCTTCCAAGTTGAAGACATTTTTAGTACGTGACAATATATTGAGTGCACCTTTATAACGTCTCACTCCAATAGAAAAAATTAAACATATTCACCTTGCATCAACATGCTTCGCGCAACATCGATTCCCAAGGTACGTGGTATCGGCAAATTTTTTTTTAATTTTTAATTTTTTTTTAATGCTGGAGAGCATCATATACTGCCCTCATAATGAAATTTGAATTTGTATGTGTAAATATATGCTCAGGTCTTGTACTTTAACTGAGTGCGTTCGGAAACCGAACGTAGGCATTCTCTGTTATGATAGTATATCGCTACCGGCGGAAAACCGGCGGAAAACCGGCCGACTGACGTACGTTAAACCATAGTGTACATCGCCTACTTAACATTAAAACCATCTTCACGGTCATTTTTTGCCAGAATGGGAGTTTTCAAAGACAATAAATGATCTTTCCGCAGTTGACCACGCGGCTGAAATGAGTATGGTTTCACCGCTGAGCAGTACAACACCATAAGTACGTCAACGAGTCCATGCATCCATGATTAAAGAGGAATCCCTTAGCTCCCTTTGAGCGTCTCGCTCAGTTGACTCCAACACAGCGAGACACGACTCAATTTTCTTTTCAGCGTCTAATTCGTAACGCACCTACCGGCTTGAGTCTTCCTTGCTTGTGATCGTTTTGATACCTCCTTGGGCTCGTGCAGCCGGCTCGCGGACGTTTGGCAGTCATGTCTATCAAAAACAAGAAATGGTTTGACCACTTGCTCAGCAAACATTTTTGTTTTTTTTGGTAGTATTATTTTTCAACTACTTTTTCAGATTGGCTTCATTTTCATTTTAGTTTCATTTAAGTATCCTGCCGCCCGGTTCTTGGCCCATCCCCCTCTGTGGGTGGGGCCATCCATAAGAGGTCATCATCATCATCATCATCATCATCATCATCATCATCATCATAATCATGTTTCCTTAGCAGGGTGTAGCAGGGTGAGAAGAAGACAACGACGAGGAGTCCGAAGCGCCCGAGGTGCATTGTTTATTCGTCACGCTAGGAGTCGGCCCCTGTTGACCATGCCCCTAGAAAATTTGGAAGAAGACAGCCTGGCGAAGAATCCCGACCTTGAGTTGGCACAGATGAAGTTCCTGCTAGCCCGACACGAGCCCCACAACGACAAACTCAAGCAGGATCTCATGATTGCCATCACCGATCATGGTGAGTACACTTCATAGGCCCGCCTAACCTTGGCGTCTTTCGGCCTCCGCGTGACCGTGCTATTCTGTTTGACTATTGCTAGCGTGAGAAGAATAATTATTCAGCTAAGCTGTTGTAGCATGGTGTTTTAACACTTTAGGGCACAAAAAAGCCAAGGAGCTCATTACATGCAGTTACACTGAATCTGTTACGCCTCGCTACGAAAGAGTACTACATAACCTTTTCGTGTACTTCGAAGGTTAAAAAAATAGAAAAAAGAGATGGTTGGTAAGCATTCACTGTAAAAAAAAAAAAACTGCGCGGAAAAGTTTTTGTGCCTTCTTTTTTTTCCGCCACAGGTGCCTCTTCAATCGCTATTGGGTGTTTTTGTTGCCTCGATTTTTATCTTGCGTACGTTTTGACGCTGTCTTTTAGAACGTATACACAATTGTTTGATGTTTGGCGATAACTGTTGTTCTTTTAATGAAGAGTTGGATGCACCGTCATTTGCACTCAAGTCGAAAACGATTTGTCGCTTCGTAATGTTTGCTATCGGGCTAGTTGGTGCATAGCTGAACTTGAATTGATGGCGCAAACATTGCACCATCATTCTTTCAATATAACCTCAAAACATTTGAGTCATGTATTCAAGCTGAACAATTTGTTGCTTTCTTCGCTTTCTGTGATGCACGCTTTGTTGTAGACATGGCACCTTTCTACGAGGAGACTTGCGCTGATCTCAACTGGGCCATCGATCAAGAGTTGGCGGCCAAGATGAGGGCTGCCAACGTGGCCGAGTTGGCGCGCCTCGACGCGGCCATCGAGGACGCCGAGAAGAACTTGAGCGAGACGGAGGTTCGCGATGGCTACCTGCGCAAGGCGGAGTACCTGAGCCGCATCGGTGACAAGGTACGAAGCAAGCCAATAAGCTCAGTCAAAGAAAAGAAAAAAATAGCGTAAGAGGCGGCTGTGACTGTATACACACTTACACAGGTGACTCAACCAGTCAGCATCGGTCACTGACCAAAGGACGCCAAGTAGCTCTTACTTATCGCTCACAGCATACCGTCGGCATCAGCTGCGAAGGAAACGGGAAAAAAAAAGAGAGACACTCGAATTATACGACGCGCTGAAAGGTCTCTCTTCTACGCATTTGTTCCACTAACGTTCGTCGTCTGCCGCCAAAATCTCCCCTGGTTCCGTAACTATAACCCCCCCCCCCCCCCCCCCCACCTGGAAAAAAAGAAGAGCCCCCTTGCCACACCCCATTTTGTGGTTTCAACCAGGGTGGCCAGTTCCACTTTTAATAAGCGGTTTTTGGGCTTCTCTTTTTACCAAGTCGCTTGTAGAATTTTACAGTCGCTTGTCGCGTTTGGGGCTCATTTGAATTTTCCCAGCAAATATCTTAGTGGTGACCACGTTCTCCAATAGCGCATTTGCCATTCAGTATTGGAATGTTTGTCAATGGCTTTTAGTATATTGTCACGGGGTCGTCATGTGGCCGAAGACAGGAGACTTTGTGTTGGAATTTAACTGTTTATTTGGGCGAACCTGTGCCCAGTAAACGGAAACTCTGATTACAGTAGCAGTCTTGGACTGATACAAAGAGAAGTTTATTAACTTTAAACTCAAAAAAAAAACTCTTTACATCATTTTATACATACAGTGCTCGTTTAGACACCCCTCTTGTGCACTATGTGGCATACAAACTCCATTATCCATAGAGGAAACTATACTCGGCGACAGCTTTTCTTGACAGCACTGTGGAAGCTATAGAGCCGAACCGCCTGCATGCGCGCGCGCCAGGAAACAGTACCTATTTTATTTTCTGATTCTAATAGCTACCTGGCCCGAATAAATAAAACTTTCTTCATTATAAGGATAGAACAAGTATGGGACGCTGTTCATGGAAAAGAAGTTATCGTGCGCCCTAGTTTTTTTTTCTTTTTTATTTCTTGGACGGCACCACGTTTTCCGCACGCCGGCTGCGTCTGCTGCTTGCTCTTGCAGCGGCGAGCACAGCATCGGCCGTGGAAAAGCTGCTCATCGTTGGGACGCGCCGTCTTTTATACATCACGCATCGAACTTTCCAGCCTTATCACTGGTGACCACGCAAGCTCTGAAATAAGCTTCACTATTCGCGTCTTGCGCGCAATCTTAACAACGATCTACAACAATTGTGAGGCTTCTCGAACACTGAGGCACAGTCTGCGCCAATCATTGCTGACAGCTTTTGAGGGCGTAAACCGAATACAGCAAAACTGAAATAAGGCAGGCCCGTGGCCGGATCGTGCCGCAACCGGCCTTCCATTTCGCCTGTACCAGGGCTCAATACCGTAAACGTTAACATTCGATCACGTGTGGCGCTTACCCGTATATACTGGGCTGAACACGGAACCTAAACTTCACTGTTATAAAGGCTGAATAAGGCTGGGAAAACGTTCTGAACAACGGAAAATTTTATGTGTACCAGTATATAAACAGCACAGTAACTAGCTGCATGTATGCACTCTCATCAAAGTTTAACTCTGACGTTCCCATTTTGCATGCATACATTTTGCTATAGAGAAAGAGAGAGAGAGAGTGAGAAAGGAAAGGCCGGGAGGTTCACCAGATATTGGCATCTGGTTTGCTACCCAGCGCTGGGGGTGGGGAAGTAGGGGCAAGAAAGAGGGGTTAGATAGAGGGAAAAAAAACGCATGCGCACTCATAAAAAAAACGAAAACATACACAGGAAGGGCGTCCCAGCTACAACTGTTCAGCAAGGCCGGTCAATCGCAAAAAGTGCAGCAGCGCTTTCAGGGTCCTCTTCTGTGAAGTCGCATCCTGACGATACTGCAGAATTTCCTGCTCCGACAGAGGCTGATCATCTAATTTGTTGAGTTCCCTGCGAAGGCATAGTCGCTGCCTACTATACGCTATGCACTCACAAAGAACATGTTGAATGGTTTCCTCCTTGCCACAGTGGCCACAGGCTGCGGTGTCGGCCATCCCAATGCGGAAAGCGTAGGCGTTGGTAAATGCAACGCCCAACCACAGCCTACATAACAGGGTCTGGTCTGTTCGGCGAAGCCTCGACGGGACTTGAAGACTTAGCGTAGGGTCAAGCGAGTACTGTCGGGCATGCTTGAAGTGTGGCTGATTCCATTGTGATGTGGTTTGCCGGCGAGCAAGTCTGCGGAGCTCTCGTGCAGCATCCGTCCTAGAAAGTGGTAGTCGCAGTTTATGATCTTCTGTGTGGGCTGATTTGGCAGCTTGATCGGCCCGTTCATTGTCGATGATTCCGCAGTGACTGGGCAACCGCTGCAATGTAATTTGGTGCACTTTCTCAGTCAGGTGGTGTATAATCTCTGCTATCTCTAGTACCAGCTGCTCGTGTGGTCCACGGCGTAAGGCTGATAGTAGAGACTGCAGTGCCGCCTTCGAGTCGCAGAAAATAGTCCACTTGCGTGTAGGTTGATAAACTACAAATTGCAACGCGGCACGAAGTGCTGCCAATTCTGCTGCCGTTGATGTTGTTGCGTGAGATGTCTTGAATTTAATTGTCGTGGCCAACCTTGGTATCACTACTGCTCCTGTAGAGCTGTCCGGCTGAACCGATCCGTCAGTGTAGATATGTGTGGAGTCTTGATGTTTCTCATACAAGAGAAGTAGTGTGAGCTGTTTTAGAGCCGGTGACGACAAATTGGCCTTTTTCTCGACGCCAGGTATGTTAATAATAATCATTGGTTGAGCGAGGCACCATGGCGGAGTCACAGGTCTAGCGGCAGGAGAGAACGAAGTTGGGATCGACTCACCATGTGCGGTCACTGTTTTGCAGTAAGATGTGCATGGTCGGACCACTGGTAGAGAAGCTAGGTGATGTCGAGGGGTTCGAGCTAGGTGTCGTATATGTGTCCTCAGCACTTCCACAATAATGTGGGTTTTGATGAGGTTGTCCCTTGTGATGGCGATAGTTGCCGCTGTTGACGCACTTTGGGGCAAGCCTAAACATATCCGGAGTGCTTCAGCCTGGACACTTTGAAGCATTCGTAGGCTTGTTTTACTTACGTTGGTTAACACAGGTAGGCTGTACCGAAGGAATCCAAGGAAAAGAAATCTGTATAGTCGATACATAGCAGTTGTGGACATTCCCCAGTTCTTTCCAGCGAAGAACTTGAACAAATGACAGATGCCTGTCAATCGCCTTTTCATGCATGATACATGTGAGCTCCATGAGAGGTCTCTGTCAATTATAACACCTAGGAACTTGTATGATCGGAGGTGACGTATTCTTTCGCTGTTTATCAGAACGCTGTAGTTATGCATTGGTTTGCGCGTAAATGCCACTAGTGCACATTTCTCAGAGGAAATTTCCAGATCTCGTTGACGGAGGTAAATAGCAACTTGAGTGGCAGCTCTCTGAATTCGCGCTCGCAGCTGTAGACGTGTTACTGCAGACGTCGAAACGCAGATGTCGTCCGCGTACATTGACAATCTGACAGTACTTGGCAGATGCTCATTGAGAGCTATTAGCGTCAGGTTGAATAGTACAGGGCTAAGTATGCCACCCTGGGGAACACCACGGTGGCGGTAATGTAGCGAAGTGTCACCATCCTCGGTCCTCACGAAAAAGGATCGCTCAGAGAGATAGCTGCGTAGCCACTGAAACATCCGACCACCCACTCCTACCTCCTTGAGAGCGGTGAGGACAGCTTCATGTGTGACGTTATCGTACGCCCCTTTAACATCAAGAAATAAAGAAGCGCAGAGACGCTTACGGCCTTTTTCGTGTTGCACGTAGCTGACCAGGTCTATGACGCTATCAATTGATGACCGGCCACGGCGAAATCCCGTCATAGCGTCCGGGTAGATGTTGTGATGCTCCAGGAACCATTCTAGCCGTCCAAGTACCATCCTCTCCATCACTTTGCCCAAGCAACTAGCCAGTGCGATCGGGCGGTATGATGTGAGCACCAATGGTGACTTGCCAGGCTTCAGTAATGGAACCAAACGGCTGGTCTTCCAGTTAACTGGGAGGGTGCCCTCTCGCCACGAGTCGTTGTATATCTCGAGGAGGGCACTCCTCGCACACTCACCAAGGTGACACAGTGCTCTGTATGATATTCCATCAGGCCCGGGTGCTGATGTCCGTCTACACAAAGCCAGTGCTGCTTTAAGCTCATGAATAGAAAAAAATTGGTCCATGTGGTGATCGTGTGATGTCGTGCCACCACGTGAGAGCGTGGAGATGTTGGGATCTGCGAGTTGACCAGATAATTTGGCACAGAACTCTTCTGCCACGTCGACCTCCGATCTCTGTTGAGAGAGGGCTAGAGCCTTGAATGAAGACCGCTGAATGGGAGATGTCCGGAGCCCTCTTATTGTCCTCCACAAGTGTGATAAAGGCTTGCGAGGATCTAACGAAGCGCAGAAGGCTGCCCAACGTTGTGACTCTAGCTTGTCTATGCGGCGTTGTATCTTCTTCTGAAGACGTCTAGCGATTCGTAAATTGTCGATTGCTTTCGTGCGTCGGTACCTTCGTTCCGCACGCCGTCGGAGAGCCCGAAGTTGTTCTAATTCCACATCAAATTCGGTTACTCTCGAAGAGCATGTGAGGGTGCTATAATAAACATTTTGCTATAATTTTGCTATAATTTTGCTATAATAAACACACTAGCGCAGCGAGCAAACGAAAAGCGAAACTGGAACCAAAATCGGCTGCAAGCTGCCGGACAACTTGCGTAGTAACACAAATGTGCGGAGGCCCCGCCTCATAGCCTTCGCTCCAATGTCAAGAAAAGCTGTCGCCGAGTATAGCGGCACACACACACACACACACACACACACACACACACACACACACACACACACACACACATATATATATATATATATATATATATATATATATATATATATATATATAT